GCCTTGGTTTCTTGCATGTTAACATCAGAAGCCTCCTCCTTAAGTTTGAGATATTCACTGTGTTAGCACACTCCACCTACCCTGATGTTCTAGCAGTGTCTGAATCATTTCTTAGGAAGGCCACCAAAAATTCAGAAATGTCCATCCCCAACCACAACATTTTCAGTCTAGATAGAACTGCCAAAGGGGGCGGAGTTGCAATCTACTGTAGAGATAGCCTGCAGAGCTCTATAATACTATCGAGGTCTGTGCCCAAACAGTTTGAGCTTCTACTTCTAAAAATCCACCTTTCCAGAAATAAGTCTCTCACTGTTGCCGCTTGCTACAGACCCCCCTCAGCCCCCAGCTGTGCCCTGGACACCATATGTGAATTGATTGCCCCCCATCTATCCTCAGAGTTCGTACTGCTTGGTGACCTAAACTGGGATATGCTTAACACCTCGGCTGTCCTACAATCTAAACTAGATGCCCTCAATCTCACACAAATTATCAAGGAACCTACCAGGTACAACCGTAAATCCGTAAACATGGGCACCCTCACAGATATCATCCTGACTAATTTACCCTCTAAATACACCTCCGCTGTCTTCAACCAGGATCTCAGCAATCACTGCCTCATTGCCTGCGTCCGTAATGGGTCCGCGGTCAAACGACCACCCCTCATCACTGTCTAACGCTCCCTAAAACACTTTAGCGAGCAGGCCTTTCTAATTGACCTGGCCCGGGTATCCTGGATGGATATTGACCTCATTCCGTCAGTAGAGGATGCCTGGTTGTTCTTTAAAAGTGCTTTCCTCTCCATCTTAAATAAGCATGCCCCATTCAAAAAATTCAGAACTAAGAAAATATATAGCCCCTGGTTCACCTCAGACTTGACTGCCCTTGACCAGCACAAAAACATCCTGTGGCGTACTGCATTAGCATCGAACAGCCCCTGCGATATGCAACTTTTCGGGGAAGTCAGGAACCAATATACACAATCAGTTAGGAAAGCAAAGGCTAGCTTTTTCAAACAGAAATTTGCATCCTGTAGCACTAACTCCAAAAAGTTTTGGGACACTGTAAAGTCCATGGAGAATAAGAGCACCTCCTCCCAGCTGCCCACTGCACTGAGGCTAGGAAACACTGTCACCACCGATAAATCTACGATAATTGAGAACTTCAACAAGCATTTTCCTACGGCTGGCCATGCTTTCCACCTGGCTACTCCTACCCCGGCCACCAGCTCTGCACCCTCCGCTGCAACTAGCACATTTCAACTCTGTCAATTACCGCATTCTTATTGGCAGACTAAATAGCCTTGGTTTCTCAAATGACTGCCTCGCCTGGTTCACCAACTACTTCTCAGATAGAGTTCAATATGTCAAATCGGAGGGCCTGTTTTCTGGACCTCTGGCAGTCTCTATGGGGGTGCCACAGGGTTCAATTCTTGGGCCGACTCTATTCTCTGTGTATATCAATGATGTCGCTCTTGCTGATGGTGACACTCAGATCCACCTCTACGCAGACGACACCATTTTGTATACATCTGGCCCTTCATTGGACACTGTGTTAACAAACCTCCAAACGAGCTTCAATGCCATACAACACTCCTTCCGTAGCCTCCAACTGCTCTTAAACGGCAGTAAAACTAAATGCATGCTCTTCAATCGAACGCTACTGGCACCCGCCCACCCGACTAGAATAACTACTCTCGGCGGGTCTGACTTAGAATATGTGGACAACTACAAATACCTAGGTGTCTGGTTAGATCGTAAACTCTCCTTCCCGACTCACATTAAGCATCTCCAATCCAAAGTTAAATCTAGAATCGGCTTCCTATTTCACAACAAAGCCTCCTTCACTCATGCTGCCGATCCTTGACTTCGGCGATGTAATTTACAAAATAGCCTCCAACACTCTACTCAGCAAATTGGATGTAGTCACAGTGCCATCCGTTTTGTCACCAAAGCCCCATATACTACCCACCATTGTGACCTGTACGCTCTCGTTGGCTGGCCCTCACTACATATTCGTCGCCAAACCCACTGGCTCAAGGTCATCTATAAATCACTGCTAGGCAAATCCCTGCCTTATCTTATCATTGGTAATCCATAGCAACACCCGTAGTATGCGCTCCAGCAGGTATATCTCACTGGTAATCCCCAAAGCCAATACCTCCTTTGGCCACCATTCCTTCCAGTTCTCTGCTGCCAATGACTGGAACGAACTGCAAAAATCTCTGAAGCTGGAGACTCTTATCTCCCTCACTAACTTTAAGCATCAGTTGTCAGAGCAGCTTACCGATGTCCTAACCGACTTGCCAAAACTATAGTTTGTTAACAAGAAATGTGTGGAGTGGTTGAAAAACGAGTTTTAATGACTCCAACCTAAGTGTATGTAAACTTCTGACTTCAACTGTATGTATTCACCCCCTTTGCTATGAAGCCCCTAAATAAGATCTGGCGCAACCAATTACCTTTAGAAGTCACATAATTAGTTAAATAAAGTCCACCTGTGTTTAATCAAAGTGTCACATGATCTGTCACATGATCTCAGTATATATACACCTGTTCTGAAAGGCCCCAGAGTCTGCAACACCACTAACCAAGTAAGCGGCACCATGAAGACCAAGGAGCTCTCCAAACAGGTCAGGGACAAAGTTGTGGAGAAATACAGATCAGGTCTTGGGATATAAAAAAATATCAGCAACTTTGAACATCTGACGGAGCACCATTAAATCCATTATAAAAAAAATTGAAAGAATATGGCACCACAACAAACCTGCCAAGAGAGGGCCGCCCACCAAAACTCATGGACCAGGCAAGGAGGGCATTAATCAGAGAGGCAACAAAGAGACCAAAGATAACCCCGAAGGAGTTTCAAAGCTCCACAGCGGAGATTGGAGTATCTGTCCATAGGACCACTTTAAGCCGTACACTCTACAGAGCTGGGCTTTACGGAAGAGTGGCCAGAAAAAAGCCATTGCTTAAAGAAAAAAATAAGCAAACACGTTTGGTGTTCGCCAAAAGGCATGTGGGAGACTCCCCAAACATATGGAAGAAGGTACTCTGGTCTGATGAGACTAAAATTGAGCTTTTTGGCCATCAAGGAAAACGCTATGTCTGGCGCAAACCCAACAACTCTCATCACCCTGAGAACACGATCCCAACAGTGAAGCATGGTGGTGGCAGCATCATGCTGTGGGGATGTTTTTCATCGGTATGGACTGGGAAACTGGTCAGAATTGAAGGAATGATGGATGGCGCTAAATACAGGGAAATTATTGAGTGAAACCTGTTTCAGTCTTCCAGAGATTTGAGACTGGGACGGAGGTTCACCTTCCAACAAGACAATGACCCTAAGCATACTGCTAAAGCAACACTTGAGTGGTTTAAGGGGAAACATTTAAATGTCTTGGAATGGCCTAGTCAAAGCCCAGACCTCAATCCAGTTGAGAATCTTTGGTATGACTTAAAGATTGCTGTACACCAGCGGAACCCATCCAACTTGAAGGAGCTGGAGCAGTTTTGCCTTGAAGAATTGGCAAAAATCCCAGTGGCTAGATGTGCCAAGCTTATAGAGACATACCCCAAGAGACTTGCAGCTGTAATTGCTGCAAAAGGTGGATCTACAAATTATTGACTTTGGGGGGTGAATAGTTATGCACGCTCAAGTTTTCTGTTTTTTTTTCTTATTTCTTGTTTGTTTCACAATAACAAATATTTTGCATGTTCAAAGTGGTAGGCATGTTGTGTAAATCAAATGATACAAACCCCCCCAAAATCCTTTTTAATTCCAGGTTGTAAGGCAAGAAAATAGGAAAAATGCCAAGGGGGGTGAATACTTTCGCAAGCCACTGGTATATAATAATGTTGCATAATCACCTTCCAGTGTCAAAAACATGGAAATTAAAAACAAAATATGTTGTTTTAAGTGAGAATAGACATTGGTCTGAAATTCACTTGCACCTCCTCTAAGAGTATGAAGCAACACATAGTTTGAAGTACAATACCAACGTAGTTACTGTAGTAGGTCAAAGCTGTGTGCTGGAAAACCTTGGTAGAGCATGGGTGGAATAGGCATTGTGGTGCTCGTGAATTTCCTTTCTTTTTTTGGCCTCAGACCAATGCCTATTCTCACTTAAAACATAGTTTTTAGTTTTCAACAGAATTAGGATTTAGTACACTCCCACTCCTAACCCAAACTCCCATTTCATCCACTTTAATGGGTTGTTTGAGTCCAGGCACACTATCCTTCAACATATTATTGGAATAGCATCCTCACTGTCACCTTGTTGAGTATCGCTCCAGTGTTTTATAACCCTGACCTGACTGTGGTTCATATTCAAAACGTCAGGAACCATGAACCAGGTCTCTCTTGAAATAAGCGGTTGTTTATCTAAGTGGGAAGCTCTGGTTTAAATAAAGAACTGGAACTTGAACTTTTAGCCTGTTTTAACTCTAGTTCTGTCTCCTTCTTCACCCTATCTGAGTCTAGGGGACAGACTGTGAAGAATGGGAGAGAAGGACTATGTGCTGGTGGTCGCAGTATTCAGGGTTCTTGCGTACCAAATGGCACCCTATTCCCTTATAGTGCACATACAGGGCGTGAGTTCAAAAGTAGTGCACTTAATAGGGAATAGGGTGCCATTTGGGACGCAGCCTGTCTCTGAGAGAGCTATAACCACGCTGTCAGACATGGCAGAACCTCTGTGCTCTTCCCTTGTTTGATTATTTGACTAATCCAGGATTCTCATGTCTGACAATGACAGAGCAGAGTGAGACAGTACAACACGGGGAGGGAATGGAGAGAGAGAGAGGGAGGGGATGGAGGGATAGAGGAGCTAGAGAGAGAGAGCTATAGTGGACCGATAGCGAGAGCGAGAGAGAGAGAGACGATAGCGAAGCGAGAGCTGCGCTATCGATCGCTATCGATCTCTCATTATGCTATCGCGAGCGGATGGGAGAGAGAGAAGGAGGAACAGAGAGAGAGAGAGAGAGAGCGCTCTTGGTAATATAATGAAATCAAAGTTTGAGTTAACCCCTAGTGTAAATAAGCCAGTTGGGGGAGTGTTTATTTTCAGGGAGAGACTGGCTCTGATGGGATTGGACAGGTTCCCCTAGGGTTCCCCTAGCTTCACTCTCATCTACTGGAGGCCACAATCAGACCTGGTTTCAAATCATATTTGAATTATTGCCAATACTTTAGCTGTGCTTGATCGAGCTTGGTTGGCACGATGGAACCAAAGCAATAGTCCCATACGCCCATTTCGCACTTTAGCCAGACTTAAGGAAACGCTCAAAGTTTATGAATGATTTTAAATAGTATTTGAACCCAGGATCTTCTCCATTCCCCCCTTCTCCCCTGAAATAAAGTATGATGGATCAGAAAGGGAGAGGATTATTTTTTCTCACATTAGAATTGATGCACGACCCACGTGGAGTTCCAGGTCTCCGGCAGCCTCTGGAACTGCCGTTCTGCGGCCAACAAGGCAGAGTTCATCTCAGCCTATGCTACCCTCCAGTCCCTCGACTTCTTGGCGCTGACGGAAACATGGATTACCACAGAAAACACTGCTACTCCTACTGCTCTTTCCTCGTCTGGTCGCGGCGGTGGCACAGGAATCTCATCTCTCCCAAGTGGACATTCTCTCTTTTTCCCCCTGACCCATCTGTCTATCTCCTCATTTGAATTCCATGCTGTCACAGTCACTAGCCCATTCAAGCTTAACATCCTTGTCATTTATCGCCCTCCAGGTTCCCTTGGAGAGTTCATCAATGAGCTTGACGCCTTGATAAGTTCCTTTCCTGAGGATGGCTCACCCCTCACAGTTCTGGGTGACTTTAACCTCCCTACATCTGCCTTTGACTAATTTCTCTCTGCCTCCTTCTTTCCACTCCTTTCCTCTTTTGACCTCACCCTCTCACCGTCCCCCCCTACTCACAAGGCAGGCAATACGCTTGACCTCATCTTTACTAGATGCTGTTCTTCTACTAATCTCACTGCAACTCCCCTCCAAGTCTCCGACCACTACTTTGAATCATTTTCTCTCTCGCTCTCCTCCAACACTACTCACTCTGCCCCTACTCAGATGGTAATGTGCCGTCGCAACCTTCGCTCTCTCTCTCCCGCTACTCTCTCCTCTTCCATCCTCTCTTCCATCCTATCATCTCTTCCCTCTGCTAAATCCTTCTCCCTCCGATCTCCTGATTCTGCCTCCTCAACCCTCCTCTCCTCCCTTTCTGCATATTTTTTTCTCTCTATGTCCCCTATCCTCCCGGCCGGCTCGGTCCTCCCCTCCTTCTCCTTGGCTTGACAACTCATTGCGAGCTCACAGAACAGGGCTCCGGGCAGCCGAGCGGAAATGGAGGAAAACTAGACTTCCTGCGGACCTGTCATCTTTTCACTCCCTCCTCTCTACATTTTCTTCCTCTGTTTCTGCTGCTAAAGCCACTTTCTACCACTCTAACCCTAGGAAGCTCTTTGCCACCTTCTCCTCCCTGCTGAATCCTCCTCCTCCTCCCCCTCCCTCCTCCCTCTCTGTGGATGACTTCGTCAACCATTTTGAAAAGAAGGTTGACGACATCCGATCCTCATTTATTAAGTCAAATGACACCGCTGGTCCTGCTCACACTGCCCTACCCTATGCTTTGACTTCTTTCTCCCCTCTCTCTCCAGATGAAATCTTGCGACTTGTGACGGCCGGCTGCCGAACAACCTACCCGCTTGACCCTATCCCCTCCTCTCTTCTCCAGACCATCTCCGGTGACCTTCTCCCTTACCTCACCTCGCTCATCAACTCATCCTTGACCGCTGGCCATGTCCCTTCCGTCTTCAAGAGAGTGAGAGTTGCACCCCTCCTCAAAAAACCTACACTCGATCCCTCCGATGTCAACAACTACAGACCGGTATCCCTTCTTTGCCCATGATCTCGCCATCACGGTTGACAACTTCATTGTGTCCTCCTCCCAGAGTGCAAATAACCTTGGCCTGACCCTGGACAACACCCTGTCGTTCTCCGCTAACATCAAAGCAGTGACCCGATCCTGCAGGTTCATGCTCTACAACATTCGGAGAGTACGACCCTACCTTACACAGAAAGCGGCACAGGTCCTAATCCAGGCACTTGTCATCTCCCGTCTGGATTACTGCAACTCGCAGTTGGCTGGGCTCCCTGACTGTGCCATTAAACCCCTACAATTTATCCAGAACGCTGCAGCCCGTCTGGTGTTCAAACTTTCCAAGTTCTCTCATGTCACCCCGCGCCTCCTCACACTCCACTGGCTTCCAGTTGAAGCTCGCATCTACTACAAAACCATGGTGCTTGCCTACGGAGCTGTGAGGGGAACGGCACCTCCTTACCTTCAGGCTCTGATCAGACCCTATACCCAAATGAGGGCACTACGTTCATCCACCTCTGGCCTGCTAGCCCCCCTACCTCTACGGAAGCACAGTTCCCGCTCAGCCCAGTCAAAGCTATTTGCTGCTCTGGCACCCCAATGGTGGAACAAGCTCCCCCACGGAGACACTTGAAACCATACCTCTTTAAGGAATACCTGGAATAGTATAACAGTAATCCTTCTTCCCCCACCCCCCCATTAAAAAAAAAAAAAAAAAAAAAAGGGAGTGGTTGTCCCACTGGCTATCCTTAATGGAATGCACCAATTTGTATGTCGCTCTGGATAAGAGCGTCTGCTAAATGATGTAAATGTAAAATGTAAAATGAGAAGAAAACATCTTATGTGGCCTGTGTAAACATTATGCCTCCCCTCCTCCCTCCCCCTCCTCCCTCCCCCTCCTCCCCTGTCCTGCCTTCCTTGGTCTGGTTAATTTTAAGCAGTCTTGGGCCTAGATTCAATCGGTATCACGGAAGATCTGCGCTATAGCGCAATTAAAATTTAGAGACAATGTTTCTGCGTTCGCGGAGACTGCATACACAGTAAACACTGCATACTGTATGTCGACTCAATCAGAAATTACCTTTGTATTTCAATCACGCTATAACACGGATCTTCTGCGATACGGATATAATCTAGGCCTTGGTCTCCTGGTTTCTTTGGTTGGAGTGCTCCGGTCTCCATCTCTGGTTTGAAGCCTCAGTGAGCACCTTCCTTGTCCCTCTCTGTTCATCCTCTCATCTCCCTTTCCTGGTCCTGCTAGGTGGAGGATCTTCGGCGGGACCTCCAGGAGGCAGAGGATGAGCGTGATACAGGGCGGAAAGAGCTGATCGAGGCCCAAAGGGAGCTGAGGGAGGTGACTCAGGAGAGGGACAACCAGAGGAAGGAGGTGCTGGACCTCAGGAGGCTGCTGGGGAACGAGAGCAGAGACAAGGAGGCCATACACACCTCCAACCAGGAGCTCAGAGCTGCAGTGAAGAGAGCAGAGAACGACAACAACAGGTACAGTCACTCACTGTCTCATACAGACAACAGGTACACTCACTGTTCCATACAGACAACAGGTACAGTACAGTCCCTAACTCTAACCCTCCAACGAGGAACTGAGAGCCTCTGTCAAGAGAACGACAACAACAGGTAGCAGTCCTTTACAGATCCATCAACCAAAAACAGGACTGTCTGATGCTATACAGACAACAATGTGTGCAAATGGGTCCAGGGCTTTATTGGGTTTATGAAGTGGAAATGATGTTGACACTATGGAGTTTAAAGACAAAACTAATTAGTGATGCGCGGGTCAGCTGTTTGCTAAACCGCACCGTCCGCAATTTGTAATAACCATCCGCAATCACCGACTAAATGTGATGAAGTGAAAATGTGTTATAAATAATATATCTGTAATTAGATACATGCAGCTTCTCTTCTGTCATTACTTGTTGCCCTAGAATACTTAATAATCCCCTGCTCACCAGAATAATGTCATAAATTGATAGAAAAAAAATAAATAAAAAAATGCCATTTAGCTTTTATCCAAAGCGACTTATAGTCATTAACTAATGTTTAATTATAGTTGCCATGGTGTCACGGTGTCAGTGTAATGCGGTAGACGAAGTCAGGCGCAGGACACAGAACTCAATGAAAACGTAACTTTACTGAAACACGTAAAGAAACAAGAAAACCTCCACGCAGGGGAGGAACAAACCCGCTCACTAACGACACCCGAAACAATAAACAAACACGCACAGAACACAATGGGAGCCACAGGGTTAAATAGGGACGGAGTAATTACAAGATGGGAAACAGGTGTGAAACAATCTGACAACAGGTAGAACATAGAAACATAGATCGGCAGCAGGTAGTACTCCGGTGACGACGAACGCCGAAGCCTGCCCGAGCAAGGAGGAAGGGCAGCCTCGGCAGGATCCGTGATAGTACCCCTCCCCCCCGACGCGCGGCTCCAGACGTGCGTCGACACCGGCCTCGAGGACGGCCAGGAGGACGCGGCGCGGGGCGAGTGGGATGATTGCGGTGGAAATCCCTCAACATGGAGGGATCGAGGATGTCCCTCCTAGGAACCCGGCACCGTTCCTCCGGACCGTACCCCTCCCACTCCACGAGATACTGCAGGCCCCCCACCCGACGCCTCGAATCCAATATGGAACGAACCGAGTAAGCCGGTGCCCCCTCGATGTCCATTGGGGGCGGAGGAACCTCCTGTATCTCAGACTCCTGGAGTGGACCAGCTACCACCGGCCTGAGGAGAGACACATGGAACGAGGGGTTAATACGATAATTAGTAGGAAGTTGTAACCTATAACATACCTCGTTCAATCTCCTCAGGACTTTGAATGGCCCCATAAACCGCCGACCCAGCATCCGGCAGGGCAGGCGAAGGGGCAGGTTTCGGGTCGAGAGCCAGACCCGGTCCCCCGGTGCATACACCGGGGCCTCACTGCGGTGGCGGTCGGCGCTCACCTTTTGCCGCCTGATGGCCTGCTGCAGACGTACATGAGCAGCATTCCAGGTCTCCTGCGAGTGCCGAAACCACTCGTCCACCGCAGGTGCCTCGATCTGGCTCTGATGCCAAGGTGCCAGAACCGGCTGATAACCTAATACACATTGGAATGGAGAAAGGTTAGTGGAGGAGTGGCGGATGGAGTTCTGGGCTATCTCTGCCCAGGGGAGGTAAACCGACCACTCCCCCCGCTGATCCTGGCAATACGACCTCAGAAACCTACCCACCTCCTGGTTGACTCTCTCCACCTGCCCGTTACTCTCGGGGTGAAACCTACCCACCTCCTGGTTGACTCTCTCCACCTGCCCGTTACTCTCGGGGTGAAACCTACCCACCTCCTGGTTGACTCTCTCTACCTGCCCGTTACTCTCGGGGTGAAATCCTGAGGTCAGACTGACCGAGACTCCCAGACCTTCCATGAACGCCCTCCAAACCCTTGAGGTGAACTGGGAACCCCGATCAGACACTATATCCTCAGGTACCCCGTAGTGCCGGAAGACGTGTGTAAATAGGGCCTCAGCCGTCTGTAGGGCCGTAGGGAGACCGGGCAGAGGAATGAGGCAGCAGGACTTAGAAAACCGATCCACAACGACCAGGATCGTGGTGTTCCCTTGTGAGTGGGGAAGATCCGTCACGAAGTCCACCGATAGGTGGGACCATGGTCGTTGTGGAATGGGTAGAGGTTGCAATTTCCCTCTGGGCAGGTGTCTAGGAGCCTTACACTGGGCGCACACCAAGCAGGAGGAAACAAACCCTCATGTCCTTAGCTAAGGTGGGCCACCAGTACTTCCCACTAAGACAGTGCACTGTCTGACCTATGCCAGGATGCCCAGAGGAGGGTGACGTGTGAGCCCAATAGATCAAACGATCGCGGACATCCAGCGGTACGTACACACGACCCTCTGGACACTGGGGAGGAGTGGGTTCGTTACGCAACGCCCGCGCGATCTCCGCGTCAACCTCCCACACCACCGGTGCCACCAGACACGACGCCGGAAGTATGGGAGTGGGCTCCACGGAACTCCCCTCCGTGTCATACAGTCGGGACAGAGCCTCTGCCTCAGCATTCTGGGAACCTGACCTGTAAGAAAGGGTGAAAACGAAACGGGTGAGAAACATGGACCACCTTGCCTGGCGAGGGTTTAATCTCCTCGCTGCCCGGATGTACTCCAGATTGCGGTGGTCAGTCAAAATGAGAAAAGGGTGTTTAGCCCCCTCATGCCAATGTCTCCACGCTTTCAGAGCTTTGACCACAGCCAACAGTTCCCGGTCCCCCACATCATAGTTGCGCTCCGCCGGGCTGAGCTTCTTCGAAAAGAAGGCACAGGGGCGGAGTTTAGGTGGCGTACCCGAGCGCTGAGACAGTAAAGCGCCTATCCCAGCCTCGGACGCGTCCACCTCAACCGTGAAGGCTAAGGAGGGGTCCGGATGAGCCAGCACTGGAGCCGAGGTAAACAGGTCCTTCAGACGACTAAAAGCCCTGTCCGCCTCAGCTGACCACCGCAGACGCACCAGCCCCCCCTTCAGCAACGAGGTAATGGGAGCTGCTACCTGACCAAAGCCCTGGATAAATCTCCGGTAGTAATTAGCAAAACCCCAAAATCGCTGCACCTCCTTTACCGTGGTTGAAGTCGCCCAATTACGCACGGTCGAAATGCGGTCCCTCTCCATCCTCACCCCTGACGCGGACATGTGGTACCCCAAGAAAAAGATGGACTCCTGGAAGAACAGGCCGAAGCCTGCCCGAGCAAGGAGGAAGGGCAGCCTCGGCAGGATCCGTGACACATGGTAAAGTTAGTTTGCTCTTTCATCTTTCATCTCTGCTTCTCTCACGCAGCAAAGACGTTTAGGGACCGCGGAGAAAATGCAATAACTGTGAAAAATGTCTAAATTACATCAGTTTGACCGGTTTTAAAGAAATTAAAAGCTGTTAAAATATAACATTAGACTACTGTTCTGACCCTCCCTTCTATAACATTAGACTACTGTTCTGACCCTCCCTTCTATAACATTAGACTACTGTTCTGACCCTCCCTTCTATAACATTAGACTACTGTTCTGACCCTCCCTTCCCAAACATTAGACTACTGTTCTGACCCTCCCTTCTATAACATTAGACTACTGTTCTGACCCTCCCTTCTATAACATTAGACTACTGTTCTGACCCTCCCTTCTATAACATTAGACTACTGTTCTGACCCTCCCTTCCCAAACATTAGACTACTGTTCTGACCCTCCCTTCTATAACATTAGACTACTGTTCTGACCCTCCCTTCTATAACATTAGACTACTGTTCTGACCCTCCCTTCTATTTATTGTCAACTCTCCATTTCACAGCTTTTTCTCTTATTGAATTAAACTCCGACATTGTCCTTTTTGCCTCAGTGGATCAACGTGAACTTTTTCTGCCCATGTTCCCAAAAGCGTTTGTCAGTTGGTGTGTATTTGACACACTACAGTTAGACCTTAAAGCTGAGGCTACACATTAACACCAGATACAAATAATGAAAGAAAAAACCTAAATGTAGCCTATAAATATGAATTGCACAATAATTATATATTTCTGACATAAGTATGCATTGTTTTCTCCTTATTCAATCCGCCCAGCACCCACCCACCCGCCCTTCATCCACACAATTTCTCATGACCCTAAACCCACCAGTCCCGCGGATATAACCACGGGGACTGCGGGTTATGACTCAACCCCGCGCGTCGCTATTTGAAATGTCACAATACGTTTCTTTAAATATTTTAACAGTAATTTACCTCCATGTATCTGCCTCCATGTCTCCATCAGTCTGCGGCGTAGCCTGGAGGACAAGGAGCAGAAGGTGGTAGTCCTGGAGGTGTGTAAGACCTCCCAGCAGCAGGAAGTGTCCAAGCTGAGGAGCACCATGAGAGAGCTGGAGAAGTCCCGACTGCAGGCACGCAGAGAGCTGCAGGAGCTACGCAGACAGGTGGGGCTTCATCTTGTTGTTGTTGTTGTTGTTGTTGTTGTTGTTGTTGTTGTTGTTGTTGTTCTTCTTCTTCTTCTTCTTATTCTTCTTCTTCTTCTTCTTTATTCTTCTTCTTCTTCTTCTTTCGTCGTCTTCTTATTCTTCTTCTGTCTTCTTCTTCTTCTTCTTCTTCTTCTTCTTCTTCTTCTTCTTCGTCTTCTTTCTAATCAGTCTCTATCTCTACCTTCTTTTAGGTGAAGATCCTAGAGAGGGAGGCTGCCCAACAGATGGAGGAGCTGGGAGAGCTGCAGGCCAGGGTGTGTCAGGAGGAGGTGAAGGAGGAGGAGGCGAGGAGGGAGGCCTTCAGTCTTAAACAGAGAGTCCTGGAGAGCGAGGCGGGCAGGGAGGCGGCCATCAAGGAGGTAAGTTACCATAGGAGGCCCACAGGGCAGGGGGGAGGGGGACAGGGAGGGGGACAGGGAGACAGACAGGGAGGGGGACAGGGAGACGGACAGGGAGGGGGACAGGGAGGGGGACAGGGAGGCTGGCATAGAGGCCGGCAGGGAGGCTGCCATCCTTGATGAAAACCTGCTCCAGAGCGCTCAGGACCTCAGCCTGGGGCGAAGGTTCACCTGCCAACAGGACAACGACCCTAAGCACACAGCCAAGACAACGCAGGAGTGGCTTCGGGACAAATATCTGAATGTCCTTGAGTGGCCCAGCCAGAGGCCGGACTTGAACCAGATCGAACATCTCTGGAGAGACCTGAAAATAGCTGTGCAGCGACGCTCCCCATCCAACCTGACAGCGCTTGAGAGGATATGCAGAGAAGAATGGGAGAAACTCCCAAAATACAGGTGTGCCAAGCTTGTAGCGTCATACCCAAGAAGACTCAAGGCTGTAATCGCTGCCAAAGGTGCTTCAACAAAGTACTGAGTAAAGGGTCTGAATACTTATGTAAATGTGATATTTCAGTTTTTTTTATCTGTAATACATTTGATAAAATTTCTAAAAACCTGTTTATGATTTGTCATTATGGGGTATTGTGGGTAGTTTGATGAGGGGGGGGGGAAAAACGATTGAATACATTTTAGAATAAGGCTGTAACGTAACAAAATGTGGACAGGGTCTGAATACTTTCTGAATGCACTGTATGCAACATACAGGAAGTAATCCGCTATACAGCGTGGATAATAACATGCTACAGAAAACATCACCTCCAGTCACACCTATCTGCAGAAAACATCACCTCCAGTCACACCTATCTGCAGAAAACATCACCTCCAGTCACACCTATCCGCAGAAAACATCACCTCCAGTCACACCTATCCGCAGAAAACATCACCTCCAGTCACACCTATCCGCAGAAAACATCACCTCCAGTCACACCTATCCGCAGAAAAACATCACCTCCAGTCACACCTATCTGCAGAAAACATCACCTCCAGTCACACCTATCTGCAGAAAACATCACCTCCAGTCACACCTATCCGCAGAAAACATCACCTCCAGTCACACCTATCTGCAGAAAACATCACCTCCAGTCACACCTATCTGCAGAAAACATCACCTCCAGTCACACCTATCTGCAGAAAACATCACCTCCAGTCACACCTATCTGCAGAAAACATCACCTCCAGTCACACCTATCTGCAGAAACATCACCTCCAGTCACACCTATCTGCAGAAAACATCACCTCCAGTCACACCTATCTGCAGAAAACATCACCTCCAGTCACACCTATCTGCAGAAAACATCACCTCCAGTCACACCTATCCGCAGAAAACATCACCTCCAGTCACACCTATCCGCAGAAAACATCACCTCCAGTCACACCTATCCGCAGAAAACATCACCTCCAGTCACACCTATCTGCAGAAAACATCACCTCCAGTCACACCTATCTGCAGAAAACATCACCTCCAGTCACACCTATCCGCAGAAAACATCACCTCCAGTCACACCTATCTGCAGAAAACATCACCTCCAGTCACACCTATCTGCAGAAAACATCACCTCCAGTCACACCTATCTGCAGAAAAACATCACCTCCAGTCACACCTATCTGCAGAAAACATCACCTCCAGTCACACCTATCTGCAGAAAAACATCACCTCCAGTCACACCTATCTGCAGAAAACATCACCTCCAGTCACACCTATCTGCAGAAAACATCACCTCCAGTCACACCTATCTGCAGAAAACATCACCTCCAGTCACACCTATCCGCAGAAAAAACATCACCTCCAGTCACACCTATCCGCAGAAAACATCACCTCCAGTCACACCTATCTGCAGAAAACATCACCTCCAGTCACACCTATCACGCAGAAAACATCACCTCCAATCACACCTATCCGCAGAAAACATCACCTCCAGTCACACCTATCTGCAGAAAAACATCACCTCCAGTCACACCTATCTGCAGAAAACATCACCTCCAGTCACACCTATCTGCAGAAAACATCACCTCCAGTCACACCTATCTGCAGAAAACATCACCTCCAGTCACACCTATCTGCAGAAAACATCACCTCCAGTCACACCTATCTGCAGAAAACATCACCTCCAGTCACACCTATCTGCAGAAAACATCACCTCCAGTCACACCTATCCGCAAGAAAACATCACCTCCAGTCACACCTATCCGCAGAAAACATCACCTCCAGTCACACCTATCCGCAGAAAACATCACCTCCAGTCACACCTATCTGCAGAAAACATCACCTCCAGTCACACCTATCTGCAGAAAAACTCACCTCCAGTCACACCTATCCGCAGAAAATATCACCTCCAGTCACACCTATCTGCAGAAAACATCACCTCCAGTCACACCTATCTGCAGAAAACATCACCTCCAGTCACACCTATCTGCAGAAAACATCACCTCCAGTCACACCTATCTGCAGAAAAACATCACCTCCAGTCACACCTATCTGCAGAAAACATCACCTCCAGTCACACCTATCTGCAGAAAACATCACCTCCAGTCACACCTATCTGCAGAAAACATCACCTCCAGTCACACCTATCTGCAGAAAACATCACCTCCAGTCACACCTATCTGCAGAAAACATCACCTCCAGTCACACCTATCCGCAGAAAACATCACCTCCAGTCACACCTATCTGCAGAAAACATCACCTCCAGTCACACCTATCTGCAGAAAACATCACCTCCAGTCACACCTATCCGCAGAAAACATCACCTCCAGTCACACCTATCTGCAGAAAAACATCACCTCCAGTCACACCTATCTGCAGAAAACATCACCTCCAGTCACACCTATCTGCAGAAAACATCACCTCCAGTCACACCTATCTGCAGAAAAACATCACCTCCAGTCACACCTATCTGCAGAAAAACATCACCTCCAGTCACACCTATCTGCAGAAAAACATCACCTCCAGTCACACCTATCTGCAGAAAACATCACCTCCAGTCACACCTATCTGCAGAAAACATCACCTCCAGTCACACCTATCTGCAGAAAACATCACCTCCAGTCACACCTATCCGCAGAAAACATCACCTCCAGTCACACCTATCCGCAGAAAACATCACCTCCAGTCACACCTATCGCAGGAAACATCACCTCCAGTCCACCCTATCCGCAGAAAGAAGAAACATCACTCCAGTCACACCTATCTGCAGAAAAACATCACCTCCAGTCACATCTATCTGCAGAAAACATCACCTCCAGTCACACCTATCTGCAGAAAACATCACCTCCAGTCACACCTATCTGCAGAAAACATCACCTCCAGTCACACCTATCCGCCAGAAAACATCACCTCCAGTCACACCTATCCGCAGAAAAAAACATCACCTCCAGTCACACCTATCCGCAGAAAAACATCACCTCCAGTCACACCTATCGCCAGAAAACATCACCTCCAGTCACACCTATCTGCAGAGAAAACATCACCTCCCAGTCACACCTATCTGCAGAAAACATCACTCCAGTCACACCTATCCGCGAGAAAAACATCACCTCCAGTCACACCTATCTGCAGAAAACATCACCTCCAGTCACACCTATCTGCAGAAAACATCACCTCCAGTCACACCTATCTGCAGAAAACATCACCTCCAGTCACACCTATCTGCAGGAAAACATCACCTCCAGTCACACCTATCTGCAGAAAACATCACCTCCAGTCACACCTATCTGCAGAAAACATCACCTCCAGTCACACCTATCTGCAGAAAAACATCACCTCCAGTCACACCTATCTGCAGAAAACATCACCCTCCAGGTCACCACCTATCCGCAGAAACACATCACCTCCAGTCCACACCTATCTACAGAAAACATCACCTCCAGTCACACCTATCCGCAGGAAAACATCACCTCCAGTCACACCTATCTGCAGAAAACATCACCTCCAGTCACACCTATCTGCAGAAAAAACATCACCTTCCAGTCACACCTATCCGCAGAAAAATCACCTCCAGTCAACCTATCTGCAGAAAAACATCACCTCCCAGTCACACCTATCTGCAGAAAACATCACCTCCAGTCACACCTATCTTGCAGAAAACATCACCTCCAGTTCACACCTATCTGCAGAAAACATCACCTCCAGTCACACCTATCCGCAGAAAACATCACCTCCAGTCACACCTATCTGCAGAAAACATCACCTCCAGTCACACCTATCTGCAGAAAACCTGCAGTGCTTACAGTATGGGGAGGATGGGCCGAGGATGTTCTACTGAATAACCCCTTGACATTTTGGTTGTGTTTACAAAGTGGGATTAAAATGGATTTCATTTTTTACATTTTTTTTTTCAATCAATGATCTACACAAACTACTCTGTAATGTCAAAGTGGAAGAAAAATTCTAACATTTCAAAAAATATATACAGTACCAGTCAAAAGTTTGGACGCACCTACTCATTCCAGGGTTTTTCTTTATTTTTTACTATTTTCTACGTTTGTAGAATAATAGTGAAGACGTCAAAACTATGAAATAACACATATGGAATCATGTAGTAACCAAAAAAGTGTTAAATAAATAAAAATACATTTTATATTTGAGATTCTTCAAGTAGCCACCCTTTGCCTTGATGACAGCTTTGCACACTCTGTCGATGTGCCCTTGAGCAAGGCACTTAACCCTAATTGCTCCTGTAAGTCGCTCTGGATAAGAGCGTCTGCTAAATGACAAAACAAATAAAAATAAAATAAAAATATGTTAGAATCAACTTTGGCAGCGATTACAGCTGTGAGTCTTCCTGGGTAAGTCTCTAAGAGCTTTCCACACCTGGATTGTGCAACATTTGCCCATGATTCTTTTCAAAATTCTTCAAGCTTTGTGAAATTGGTTGTCAATAGATTTTCAAGTAGATTTAAGTCAAAACTGTAACTCGGCCACTCAGGAACATTCACTGTCTTCTTGGTAAGCAACTCCAGTGTAAATTTGGCCTTGTGTTTTAGGTTATTGTCCTGCTGAAAGATACATTAATCTTCCAGTGTCTGTTGGAAAGCAGACTGAACCAGGTTTTCCTTTAGGATTTTGCCTGTGCTTAGTTCCACTCCGTTTATTTTTTATCCTGAAAAACTCCCCAGTCCTTAATGATTACAAACATACCCATAACATGATGCAGCCACCTCTATGCTAGAAAATATAGAGAGTGGTACTCAGTAATGTGTTGTATTGGATTTGCCCCAAATATAATACGTTGTATTCAGGACAAAAGGTAAATTGCATTGCCACATTGTTTGCAGTATTACTTTTGTGCCTTTTGGAATATTTGTATTCTGTACAGGCTTCCTTCTTTTCACTCTGTCATTTAGGTTAGTATTGTGTAGTAACTACAATGTTGTTGATCCATCCTCAGTTATCTCCCATCACAGCTATTAAACTATGTAACTGTTTTAAAGTCACCATTGGCCTCATCGTGGAATCCCTGAGCGGTTTCCTTCCTCTCTGGCAACTGAGTTAGGAAGGACACCTGTATCTTTGTAGTAACTGGGTGTATTGATACACCATCCAAAGTGTAATTAATAACTTCACCATGCTCAAAGGGATATTCAATGTCTGCTTTTTTAACATTTATTTTTACCCATCTAGCAAAAGGAGCTCTTTGCGAGGCATTGGAAAACCTCTTTGGTTTTATTGTCAAATCTGTGTTTAAAATTCACTGCTCGAATAAGGGATCTTACAGATAATTGAATGTGTGGGGTACAGAGATGAGGTAGTCATTTAAAAATCATGTTAAACACTATTATTTAAATCATGTTAAACACTATTATTGCCCACAGAGTGAGTCCATGCAACTTATTATGTGACTTGTTAAGCACATTTTTACTCCTGAACTTATTTAGGCTTGCCATAATGAAGGGGTTGTGTACTTATTGACTTATTTCAGTTTTTTACAGCTTTTCATATTTAATTAATTTGTAAAAATTTTGAAAAATACAATTCCACTTTGTCATTTTGGGGTATTGTGTGTAGGCCAGTGACAAAAAGTCTCAGTTTAATCAATTTTTAATTCAGGCTGTAACACAACAAAATGTGGAAAAGGTCAAGGGGTGTGAACACTTTCTGAAAGGCTCTGTCCAACATATTACATCTCTATTTGGCCCTGGGGATTAGTGTACTGACACTTCATCTTGGATTGGTACATATCTGTAAATAACAAACTGCCCAATTGTTACATTTTTACAGATGCTCTTATCCAGAGCAACATACAGGAGCAGTTAGGGTTAAGTGCCTTGCTCAAGGGCACATCGACAAATGTTTTTCACCTAGTCGGCTCAGGGATTCAAACCAGTAACCTTTTGGTTACTGACCCAACACGCTTAACCGCTAGGCTACCTGCCATCTGTTATCGGGGCAAATTAGGGTATTAAAAGGGTGCAAGTCTTCAACTTGTGTTGGACATCATGGCGTTAGATAATGGGGATCCTGATAAAATTTAAAAACTCTAATTTAAAATTCAAATAAAATGTAAAATTCAAAAGCCTTTCCTCTTTTAATTAAATCACAATTCAAATCACAAGGTATTTAAAGATTTAGACAATGTCTCAAAATACTGTACAAAGAGAATACAAAATAAATAAAAACAAGATCCTTCCCATAATGCCCCTCTCCTCTCTCCATTTCCTGTTTCTCTCCTTCAGGTCTGCGGGCTGCAGCGTCGTGTTGTGGAGCTGGAGGATGCGGCGCGTCAGATGAGGGAGGTGCTAGCGGAGAGAGAGGCGGGACTTCAACAGAGTCTCCTCCTCCACGGCGAAGAGACCTCAAAATTAGTGGTAGCTCTAGAGGAGCAGGCTACTCAGGTAAAGACACGTATTACTAAGATGGTGAGTTAGCATTTCCCATAGGAATACATGTCACATGCTATCACGCTAACTATAGCTTGGCGCAGTTGTATACTAGATAGCTACGATACACATGATGAAGAGCAACAGCCTTAGTCAAGTATCTGCAGATGTGCACTGGGGTTTCCCCCACTCTAAAAATGGTATATTCCTCACGACGATATGTCATTGGGTTTATTGAAAGCATGTGTCTGTTGTGTCTCCCGTGTGGCGCAGTGGTCTAAGGCACTGCATTGCAGCGCTAGCTGTGCCACTAGAGATCCTGGTTCAAATCCAGGCTCTGTTGTAGCAGGCTGCGACCGGGAGACCCATGGGGCGGTGCACAATTGACCCAGGGTAGGGGAGGGAATGGCCAGCAGGGATGTAGAGCATGGTGTTTGCAACGCCCAGGGTTGTGGGTTCGATTCCCACAGGGGGCCAGTATAAAAAAATAAATAATGTATGCACTCACTAACTGTAAGTCGCTCTGGATAAGAGCGTCTGCTAAATGACTAAAATGTAAATGTTCAGTTCAATGAAATATGACCCTATCTACACGTTTGATCTATACTAGTTCTATGGTCTCGCCCATCAACCCACAGCAGCTGATCTCGAAGTACACAATGCAACACTGTTTATTTTTTTGTGTGACCGCTAATGCTAACGACAGAACCCTCTTGGTTCCCCAACCCTTCCCCAGGTCGGGGAGCTCACCCTGCATGTTAGCTTGGCAGAGGGCCGCGCTCAGGCGCTGGAGGAGCAGCTAGGAGACGGGGATGCCCAACGCAGGGAGCTGGAGCACAGGCTGGTCGGGCTGACCTCTGCCCTGAGACGAACCCTCGGGGTAGGCCGCACCGGACAGTCACAGACCCCTGGGTCCAGAGGACGCAGCCCCTCCCCCTGGAGAAGTCGCTCACCTGTGAAAGGTGTGATGGCCACTCACTAATGCCGTAGAACAGACCAACACTCTTTGAAACGACTGACAATGACAATGATTCTGGTCTTAAGCTAACGTAACATAAAATAATAATGTTAAAAAAAGAAATAGGTGTCTCAGTGAGTTGGTCTTGTTTCTCTATCTGTAATAGGTGAAACCAGCGGATCAACAGGAGGTCCTGCATCGTCCCCGTCCCGTAGCGATGAGGGGGAGCTGGATGTGGAGGTGGTGCAGAACGCCCTCAGGGACTTCCACCAGGAACTTAGAGACACGAAGAGAGACAGGGTACTGTACATGTGCAGCTCCAGCATCACTCAGTACTTTTAAGGCTAACAGAAGATGCATGTCCTTTCACTGTCTACAATGTCGAGAGACTTGCAGTCCTCAGTACTGATAGAGCGTTATCCAGTCCCTCCAGGATTCCGCAATCACAATCCATTTTTTTTTTGCAAAATCAACAATCCCTGCATATTATGCGAGGATTGCAAATTTGACCAATCATCATTTCCGCATAAAACAGTCAAATCATCGCGATATTGTCGCAGAAATAATTTTCTGTAAACGCTTTCATAGAAACCATAGGCTGCTTTTTGAGTCTACTTCGTGATCATGTTGTTTTTTGAGTGACTGAGGGTTCGGTTCCTGTCACCCTGCAGGATGAAGCTAAGGCCCAGGTGACCAGTCTGACCCGGCAGGTGGCTGAGCTACAGAACAGCCAGGACAAGTCAGGCACCAGGCTGCAGCAGCTGACCAAAGCCCTGAAGGAACTGGAGGAGGGTGAGAGAGAGCAGGGCCTGTTACGGTCCACATTTTTGAGGACTGAAAGTACCGTGTTCAAGTTCAAGCTGAAGTTTATTTACATCCACATAGCTTTCAATACAAAACTGAAATCCATGAGCATAGGGTTAAGTGCCTTGCTCAAGGGCACATCAACAGATTTTTCCAACTAGTCGGCTCGGGGATTAGAACCAGCGACCTTTCGGTTACTGGCACAACGCTCTTACCCACTAAGATACGCCTATGCCATTGGTATGCTCATGTCCCCGAGCCGACTAGGTGAAAAATCTGTTGATGTGCCCTTGAGCAAGGCACTTAACCCTAATTGCGCCTGTAAGTCGCTCTGGATCAGAGCATCTGCTAAATTGACTAAAATGTAAATAGATGTTCCTAAATTGTTAAAGGAGACTATGTTTGTATTGTGTGGTGGGTCGTCTCTGTGTGTTGTCCAGGGAAGAGAGAGGTGTCGGAGCAGCTGTACGGGGCTCAGACCTCCCTCTCCCTGCAGGAGGAAGTGACACGGCGAGGGGACAGGGACAGGAAGAGCTTGGCAGAGGAAGTAGCTAAACTCAAGACCAGTCTGCAGACCGCTGATGCTGATAGTAGGGCACTGCAGGTACTGTTGGCTGAGAGTGATCAAACCTAACGCTGTTTAATATTCTGTGTTCCCCTTTGAATATGTATTGACTGACCATGGATGGGGGTGGTCTGGAGGCACAACGTGACAAATGTTACATTTCATTGATTGGTTGATTGATTGATTGAATGACTTACTGATTGACTGACTGACTGACTGGATGGCTGACTGACTGATTGACTGGCTGATTGACTGGCTGGCTGATGCCCAGGAGAAGCTGGATCGTTCTCGGGATGGGGAGGCTCGCTGTGAGGGAGAGCGTCGGAGGCTGAAGGAGGCCCTGGAGACAGCGGAAAGCCGGGCGTCTCGTCTGGAGCTCACCCAGAAGACCCTAGAGGGAGAGCTGCAGCGGGCCCAGCGGAGAGCAGCCGAGCTGGAAGGAGAGGTGACAGCCCTGGGCGAGAGGTAATTGTTTTCCTGTATTTATATTATATTTATGAGATAGTTATCACTATCAGTGAATCCTGTCAGCCACAACAAGAGGACCACAATTGAATTGAAGTTGTTAATAAATCCAATTTTTTGTCATTTAGCAGATGCTCTAATCCAGAGCGATTTACAGGAGCAATTAGGGTTAAGTGCCTTGCTCAAGGAAACATCGACAGATTTTCACCTAGTCGGCTCGGGGATTGGAACCAGCGACCTTTCGGTTACTGGCACAACACTCTTAACCACTAAGCTACCTGCCACTAAGTCCCCTATTTAGTTATACACTGCTCAAAAAAATAAAGGGAACACTTAAACAACACAATGTAACTCCAAGTCAATCACACTTCTGTGAAATCAAACTCCACTTAGGAAGCAACACTGATTGACAATACATTTCACATGCTGTTGTGCAAATGGAATAGACAACAGGTGGAAATTATAGGCAATTAGCAAGACACCCCCAATAAAGAAGTGGTCCGGCAGGTGGTGACCACAGACCACTTCTCAGTTCCTATGCTTCCTGGCTGATGTTTTGGTCACTTTTGAATGCTGGCGGTGCTTTCACTCTAGTGGTAGCATGAGACGGAGTCTACAACCCACACAAGTGGCTCAGGTAGTGCAGCTCATCCAGGATGGCACATCAATGCGAGCTGTGGCAAGAAGGTTTGCTGTGTCTGTCAGCGTAGTGTCCAGAGCATGGAGGCGCTACCAGGAGACAGGCCAGTACATCAGGAGATGTGGAGGAGGCCGTAGGAGGGCAACAACCCAGCAGCAGGACCGCTACCTCCGCCTTTGTGCAAGGAGGAGCAGGAGGAGCACTGCCAGAGCCCTGCAAAATGACCTCAAATGTGCATGTGTCTGCTCAAACGGTCAGAAACAGACTCCATGAGGGTGGTATGAGGGCCCGACGTCCACAGGTGGGGGTTGTGCTTACAGCCCAACACCGTGCAGGACGTTTGGCATTTGCCAGAGAACACCAAGATTGGCAAATTCGCCACTGGCGCCCTGTGCTCTTCACAGATGAAAGCAGGTTCACACTGAGCACATGTGACAGACGTGACAGAGTCTGGAGACGCCGTGGAGAACGTTCTGCTGCCTGCAACATCCTCCAGCATGACCGGTTTGGCGGTGGGTCAGTCATGGTGTGGGGTGGGCATTTCTTTGGGGGGGCCGCACAGCCCTCCATGTCCTCGCCAGAGGTAGCCTGACTGCCATTATGTACCGAGATGAGATCCTCAGACCCCTTGTGAGACCATATGCTGGTGCGGTTGGCCCTGGGTTCCTCCTAATGCAAGACAATGCTAGACCTCATGTGGCTGGAGTGTGTCAGCAGTTCCTGCAAGAGGAAGGCATTGATGCTATGGACTGGCCCGCCCGTTCCCCAGACCTGAATCCAATTGAGCACATCTGGGACATCATGTCTCGCTCCATCCACCAACGCCACGTTGCACCACAGACTGTCCAGGAGTTGGCGGATGCTTTAGTCCAGGTCTGGGAGGAGATCCCTCAGGAGACCATCCGCCACCTCATCAGGAGCATGCCCAGGCGTTGTAGGGAGGTCATACAGGCATGTGGAGGCCACACACACTACTGAGCCTCATTTTGACTTGTTTTAAGGACATTACATCAAAGTTGGATCAGCCTGTAGTGTGGGTTTATACTTTAATTTTGAGGGTGACTCCAAATCCAGACCTCCATGGGTTGATACATTTGATTTCCATTGATCATTTTTGTGTGATTTTGTTGTCAGCACATTCAACTATGTAAAGAAAAAAGTATTTAATAAGATTATTTCATTCATTCAGATCTAGGATGTGTTGTTTCAGTGTTCCCTTTATTTTTTTGAGCAGTGTATGAAAGGGTGCCAATATTCTGCTGTCATTAAGTATGGTCAAATTTATTTTACACTTATAAGAAAGGTGAATATTATAATAAGTCATTTATAATTTGATTGTTACTGTATTTAAAAAGCATTTTAGTAATTTCAAGACCTTTTTCCCCACTTATGTTGAATTGGAACTACATCATATGTGATATTTGATATTTGTACAATGTACTTGTGGTTATGTCCTCAAAAGTGTGACACCTCAGCAATTTATAACTATTTCTAATTGTGTATATGGCCCTCTCATTAAAAATATTTTACTTTTGGGTATGTCTATTTACGGGGGAAATCTACATTTTGTTATCCTCTGTCATTTTAAATGCATTGTGTGTCGTTGGATTGTGTTTTTTTATTTTTTATTGTGAAATAAATCAAATCAAATCAAAAGGCTAGCAGAGCTGAGGAGAGAGCTGGGGGAGACTGAGGACCGGGCGGCTGGGCTGAGGGTGAGCGAGGAGAGGCTGGCTAAGGCCCTGGCCTCGGCTGAGCTACAGGTATGTTCTGCTTCCTGTTAACTACTCATGTCCCCTTTAAGAACGGAGCACTGTGACCTTTTACTGCAGTGGGCTAAATCAGGGGTCACACGGCGTGTTTCTTGATAGTCTTAAACAAATCTACTTTGAAACAGAAGTATACACCTCACACACATGGTTATGGGCTTAAAGAAAATAAGACCCCTGTACCAGGTCAGATATAGAGTTGAAATGTATTACATTATGAGTTTGCATTCCCAATATTACACTTTATATCATCACAGAAGACTGAAATCTAACAAAACAATTTGACATAGAAACACCAGATTTTAATTACAGTATGTATGAAAAATATTTATAACGTTCCACCCATGAGGCCACTAGAGGGCGATTTGGTTCATTTGACTGAAGGAAAGGGCTACGATGCCAAAAGCACAACTATGGAAATAAGTAATTGACTTTATTGTATTATCCTTGATAGTTAATAAATTCTCCCTCCCCCTCCCCCCTCCCTCCCTCCCTCCCTCCCCAACGATTCCACCAACCCACCCACCACCACCACCAACCATCCACCATCCACCCATCACGCACCACCCACCACACCAATCCCGTTCCCCCCCTCTCTCACCCCCCACTCCATCCACCCACCCACCCACCATCCAACCAACCACCCACCCACCCACCCACCATCCATTTATCCATCCATCCATCCACCCACCCCCCCATCCACCCCCACCCACCCACCCACCCACCACCCACCACACCCACCCACCACCCATCCACCCCCACCCATCCATCCATCTCCATCCATCCATCATCCATCCATCCATCCACCCCACCCACCCACCCATCCCTCCCCCCAGGAGGGCAGTGAGAGAGCAGCTCCCGGGGTTGTCGGTCTCTCTCAGGGACAGTAGTTGCCCCTGCAGGAAACCATGCAGGAGCAGACCCCAGCTACAGAGGGGCTTCACCGTCTCAGACCACGCAGGGTCTTGCAGGGAGGAATAGCACGAGTCCAAGCCCACCAATTACCCTTTTCAGAGTCCAAATGCCACCCACTATTACCTATCACGAGTCCCAAGCCCCCTACTATTATATTAGGGGTATTCAAAAATTTCTGCACCTGACC